CAGCTCAAGGCTAGCGCTCTACCACTTGAGCCACAGCACCACTTCCGGCTTTTTTCTTTTTGCTTATGTGGTGCTGAGGAATCGAACCCAGGGCACCTCAGGCATGCAAGGCAAGCGCTCTACCACCCCCAGGCCCAGAGTTCAGGCCCCACGACAGGACCAAAAAAAAAATCTCAGGGATAGCATCCAGGCCCTGAGTTCAAGCCCCAGGACTGGCACAAAAAAAAAGTGGAGCTGTGGCTACTATAAGAAACCACAGTTTGACGGGCTCACGCCTGTAATCCTAGCTACTCAGAAGTCTGAGGTCTGAGGATTGATGTTCAAAGCCAGCCCAGGCACGAAAGTCCGAGAAACTCTTATCTCCAATTAACCACTAGAAAACCGGAAGTGGTGCTGTGCTCAAGCGATAGAGCGCTCTCCTTGAGCTGAAGAGCACTGGGACAGCACTCAAGCCCTGAGTTCAGGCCCTACGATCGACAAAAATAAACAAACAAACCACAGTCCAACCTCACAGGAACATCCATTTCTCTGTGAAGTATCACTCCATCAGAGCTTCTATGTCAGGATTTCATACTATGAGGCTTGAAGTATTTTTCTGTCTTCCAAATAACAACAGAAAAACCCAGCAGTTTTCCTGTGCGCGCATGTGCGCGCACGCGCACGCGCGCGCACACACGCGCACACACACGCATACACACGCACGTGACTACTGGGGCTTGAACTCAGGGCATCATGTTCTTGCTTAAATTTTCTGCTTAATCTTGATGTTACGCTGGTGGAGCCACACCTCCAGTTCTGACTTTTTGCTGGATAACTAGATGAGTCTCTTGGGTTTGTCTGCCCAGGATGGCTTAGAACTCAATCCTCAAATCTCAGCCTCCTGAGTAGCTAGGATTATAGGTGTGATCCACCAGGACTCAGTAACAGCATTTTCCCTCTATTATAAACTTAGCACTCCACCATTACACCTCAAACCTTTCATAACAAAAGTTGCAGCTCAGTAGTAACAGCTTGGAGGCTCCCTGATCACCATTCAAACCTCCCATCCTACAGACACACCTCCTGTTCCTCAGGATTCTGAGTCTTCACTTCCACCAGGAAGCCTATGATTACTTCCACCCAACCACCACTCACCACTGTGAGTTAGAGTCCCTCACAGTGCTTGCTATGTTTCAGAGTGGTCCTGGGACCTTTCAATGTCTTTTATCTCCATTCTACTTCCTAACAAGAGACTAGGAGTTCAAGGGCAATTCATCTCTGGATTCCTGAGACTCAGTGTGGAACCAGGCCATAAATGAATGCTTGATTATGAAATATGGCCTAATTAAAAGAATAGGGCTAGCCAGGTGTCAATGGACCATGCCTATAATCCTAGCTACTGAGGGGGATGAGATCAAGGAATCCTGGTTTGAAGCTAGCCTAAGCGGAAACTCCCAAGACATTCTTATCTCCAACTAACCACCAAAAAGCCAGAATTGGAAGTGTAGTTAAAGTGGTAGAACACCAGACTTGAGTTAAAAAGCTAAGGGACTAGCAGGGATCCCACCTATAATCCTAGCTACTCAGGGGGCTAAGATCTAAGGATGACAGTTTGAAGCCAGCTGGGGCAAGAAAATCTACAAGACCCTTATCCTCAATTAATCACCAAAAAGCTGTAATTGGTGCTGTGGCTCAATTGGTAGAGCTCTAGCCCTGCACTGAAAAAGCTCAGGGACACTGCGAGGCCCTGAGTTCAAATTGTAGCACAACACCAAAACAAACAAACAAAAAAACACAAATAAAGCTTACAGGATCAATCAACCCTACCTAGGTTTGCATTTTGTGTGCCATCAAATACTAATATGAATATGTGGCTTAATGACTGCAATCTTACTTGGAATATATAGCTTACCAGCTGCATGCCTGTTTACTCACTGACCAAAATGAGTATAACATTGAGTATAACAATGAGTGAAGATACATACAGTTAGCCTTCGGAATCCATGGGATATTTGGGGAAAAATAAGTCCACGATTTAGTATACAATGGTGTAGTATTTGCATATACCTACTTGTGTTCTCCTGTATTCACCTCAAGGTTACTTAAATACCTAATACAATGTAAATAGTTGTCATATTGTGTTGTTTGGGGAATCATGAAAACAAGCAGAGTCTATATGTGTTCAGTACCAAATAATTTTTTTCAATTTTCCTTTTTGTTGGTGCTAACACTTGTACTAAGGGCCAGGGACTTCCCCTTTAGCTTTTGCACTCAAGGCTGACTCTACCACTAGAGCCAAACCTCCACTTGTGGCTTTTGGTTGATTAACTGGAGGTAAGAATCTCATGGACTTTTCTGCCCAAGGTGGCTTTGAAACAAGATCCTCTGAACTCCTGAGTAGCTATGATCACAGGCATGAGCCACTGGCACCTGGATCCTTTTCTCAAATATTTTTAATTTACTGTTGGTAGATTGTATGAGCACAGAAGCAACAGATATGGAGGGCCCATTATATACTGCATGAAGCCAGCCTGGGCAGAGAGTCTGTGAGACTCTTATCTCCAATTAGCCACCAAAAAGACAGAAATGAAGCTGTGGTTCAAGTAGCATAACACTAGCCTTGAACAAAAAGGCCCAGGAATATCGCCCAGGCCCTGAGATCAAGCCCCAGGATTGGGGCAAAAAAAAAAGTTATACATAGCCTGCAAACTACCTAACACATAGAAATCACTGGATAAATGACACTTTATTTTTTTTGGTCGGTCATGGGGCTTAAACTCTGGGTCTGAGCACTGTCCCTCAGCTCTTGAGCTCAAGGCTAGCGCTCTACCACTTGAGCTATAGCACCACTTCTGGTTTTCTGGTGGTTTATTGGAGATAAGAGTTTCATGGACTTTCCTGCCCAGGCTGGCTTTGAACTGCGATCCTCAGATCTCAGTTTCCTGAGTAGGTAGGATTACAGGCATGAGCCACCAGCGCCTGGCTGACACCATACTATATATAGACTAGGCCTGTGGTTATCCAACTGTGGTCTCCACAAATTCATAGGGTTTTTGTTGTGATTTTTGTATTTTATAGAGTTATTAATTTTAAAATATACTGCTATGTCCTCGCTGATATTATGAAGGGTCCTATTACCACTGAGGTACATACTTGGTCCTTGAAATCTGAGACCCAGCAAACTCTTTACATGATTTTGATGAAATCTACAGCTTGAGAGCCTGGTGCTAGTAATTGAGCCTTCTAACCCATCCCTAGCATGGAGTTGGACACATAGATGCTCACTGAGGAGCCCCCTAATCCAAACCCAGACAGGCACAGGGGGGTCAGGTAATCCCACCTGTACGCTTCTGCATTTTCTTCTTATTCTTCAGGGCAGATGCCAGAGCCTGGCCCTGTTGCAGAGGGTCTGTCTCCATGATTCTCTGTAGCATTGGGCGGCGGTCCACTGAGCGTACGTTTATCACACCATTGTTCCTGGTGCCATACTGGTCCACATTACGTTTAGCCCATCCTATCTGATGACGGTTTGGATTGGTACAATAGCCAGTGAGGTCACCAATCTGGGGAGGAAGAATATAATGTTGAAATCTTGACCTCCAGAAAATCTCCAAAGACTTCTACAGAGAGGCATGGACAGGCTTTGGTAGGAAGAAAAGTCCTGGGGCCATTGAGAACTCAGTTCCAATTTGGGCTCTCCAGCTGCTTAGGTAGCCTCAGTCTGAATCTGCCACTCATCAAATGAGGTGGATCATGGGTAGTTGACACGGGTTCTGCAAGAATACAACTTAAAAGGAGGATGACTCTCTTAATGATAATTGGTATTATAATGACTCTTTGCTTTAAGGTCTTTAGGGGTGCAGGTACTGGGGCTTCATCTCAGGGCCTAGGTGCTGTCCCTGAGCTTTTGTGCTCAGGCTAGCATTCTACCACTTGAGCAACAGCTCCACTTGACACGTATTTTATGCTCAGCCCTGGGTGGGGTAATGCTGGAGACAGAGAAATGAGCCAGACTCAGCTTCATGTTCAGGAAGCAATCTAGACAAGGAGTATATAGCAATCTATCTCACAAATCAGATGTATGTTGTCTGCCCATTACAAAGAATTGGTGACTGAGAGGCTAGGGGCGATGGTGGTGGTCAACATACCACTGATAGGGAGAGGTACACCTGACTAAACACTGGAAAAACACAGAAAGCTTACTATTCTCTAAGCATATACACCCACAAGTACACATATACTGACATGTACCACATAAACATGATTCAGGCAACAATGAACTACATGGCAGTATCATGAAAGATACTGCCTTCTATAACTTGTCTTATTTTGTGTAAGTATACTCTAGGATATTGATACAGCAACAAAATCATCTAACAATTCATCTCTCAGATCAAAATCCCTACTGGTAAGCATAATGTGACTGTATAAACTCCTTTGTACACATGTATTAATTTAATTCTTCTAAGAATGATATGACAGGCTAAGCACCAGTGGTTCACATATGTAATCTTAGCTATTTAGGAGACTGAAATCTGAAGATCATGGCTCAAAGCCAGCTGGGGTAGGAAAGTCTGTAAGATTCTTGTCTCCAATAAACCAGCAGAAGGCCAGAAGTGGTGGTGTGGATCAAGTGGCAGAGCACTAACTTTGAATGGGAAAAAAAGCTAAGGGATAGCACCCAGTCTCTAAGTTAAAGCCCCAGTATCAGCACGCATGTGCACACGCATGAGCGCACGCACACACGCGCGCGCGCGCGCACACACACACACACACACACACACACAATGCTATGATAAACAAGATATGTGTGATCACATAGCTAAGCCAGCTGTGAAATAAACTAGAACCCAAGAAGTCTGCTTCCAGACCACCTACTATACTAGAGAAGGGAAAAGGCATGCAAGGTAGGTGGGTCAGAGCAAAGCTACAACTCTGTAGTTGGTGGCAGCGGCACCATTCACAAGACAGGAAACCTAAATAAAGTCTCTTGGAGTTGTATCATGTGGTGGCCTTGCTGAGGGCCCTGGAAAGAGCCAGGAACTTGTAGTAAAAAAAGAGAACTACTTACATGTCTCTGAGAAATATGGTCTGCTCTGAGACATATGGGCTCAGTAAAAATATTTGCTTTGAAGATAACTTTAAATGGGGTTTCTCTTTAAGCAATAGGGAAATCTCCAAAACTATATAAGGACAGGAATAATATAATTCTTGCCACTGCCCAAGTTCAATGACTATCTTCTTTTAAGGACTGAGTAGAGGCCAGTTTCCTTCCTGGACTCCCTGTCCCCCGTTCCAGTACCTTTCTTCTAAGTAATTGTTCTAATATACAAGCTTGACCTTCTCTCTTCCTAGCTTAAGAAACAATCCCAGATATTATCTAGCCACCAAAAACAAAGGACAACTCTTAAAGTAATCACACAGAATAATTTCCAAGATGAATTTGTAGGTGAAATAAAATGTGGAACAATTTGAATAGCCTGCTGCTAATTTAATTAAAATAATTACCTGCGCTGGGAACTGGTGACTCATATTTGCAATCCTAACTACTCAAGAGGATAAGACCTGAAGGAACACAATTCCAAACTAGCCTGGGACATTAGTCTATGAGACTCCCATCTAGATCAAAGGCATAGCTAAAGTGGCAAAGTGAAAGACGTAAGCAAGATTGTGAGGCCTTGTGTTCAAACTGCAGTATGTGCAAAAAATAAAGAAATTACTTGTCAGGCTTTTAAAAAATAGTTCAGTGGGTGCCAGTGGCTCGTGCCTATAATCTTAGCTATTCAAGAAGCTGAGATCTGAGGATCGAGGTTCAAAGCAGCCCATGCAGGAAAGTCTGTGAGACTCTTATCTCTAATAAACCACTAGAAAACCAGAAGTGGTGCTATGGCTCAAGCAGTAGAGCACTTGCCTTGAGCTGAAGAGCGCAAGGACAGTGCCCAAGCCCAGAGTTCAAGCCCCACGACCAACAAAAAAATAAATAAATAAAAACTAAAATGAAATAAAAGGTTCAAGTCCTTGGATTCCATTCTAGCAGGTCCCATACAAAAAAATACTCAACATTTTTTCTGCAGCTGCTTATGTGTTTATATAAACAGGGATGTTATGTTTAAATGTCCACAATATCACTCGAAAGTACATCCAAATGTCTGCAAATAGTGAAAGAGAACAGAGTAGTTGGGAGACAGAAGTAGAGGGAGATTTACATTTTCACTGTATACTCATTAGTCCTTTTGAAATGTTTATTTAAAAATAAATAGGCATGCTTGGCACTGGCGGCTCAAGGCTATAATTCTAGCTACTCAAGAGGCTGACATATAAAGATCATGGTTCAAAGCTAGCCAAGAAAAGTTAAGTCCATGAGTTTCTTCTCTCTAATTAAAAAACAAAAAGCTAAAAGTAGAGCTGTGGCTCAAGTGGTAGAATGCTAGCCTTGAGCACAAAAACTCAGGGACAGTGCCCAGGCCCTGAGTTCAAGACCCAGGACTGGCACACAAAAAAGAAATTATGGGGGGCTGGGAAGGTGGCTCAGTGGTAGAGTGCTTGCCTTGCATGCATGAGGCCCTGGGTTCGATTCCTCAGCACCACATAAGCACAAAAAGCCAGAAGTGGTGTTGTGGCTCAAGTGGTAGAGTGCTAGCCTTGAGCTGAAGAGCTGAGGGACAGTGCCTAGGCCCAGAGTTCCGGCCCCACCACTGGCAAAAAAACAAACAAACCTGGGACAAGCTGGATGCCAGTGGTTTATACCTATAATCCTAGCTAATCCGGAGGCTGAGTAAGTCACTGGAAGATCAGAGTTCAAGTCAGTCCAGGCATACTCTATATATCTCTAATTAACCATCAAAATATCACAACGGAGAATTGGCTCAAGTACTAGAGTGCTAGCCATGAGCAAAAAAGTTGAGCAAGAGCTCAAGACTCTGAATACAAGTCCTAGTACTGATACCAAAAAAAGACTCTATGGGATAGCTGGGCACAGTTTGGCTCAGGCTCATAACCATAATCTGAATTCCTTGAGAGGTACAGACCAGGATGAACGTGGTTCTAGACCAGACCAATCAAAAAGTTAATGAGACTCCTATCTCAAAAAACAAGCCAGGGGCTGGGAAGGTGGCTCAGTGGTAGAGCTCTTACCTTGCATGCATGAGGCCCTGGGTTTGATTCCACAGCACCACATAAGCAAAAAGAAAAAAGTCAGAAGTGGCACTGTAGCTCAAGTGGTAGAGCGCTAGCCTTGAGCTGAAGAGCTGAGGGACAGCACCCAGGCCCAGAGTTCAGGCCCCACTACCAGACCAAAACCAAAACAAAACAAAAAAAAACAAGCCAGGCATAGTGGTATATGGCTATAATCTCAGCTACACAGGAAATAGAGATAGGAGAATTGCAGTCAAATACCAGCCCCAACAAAAAGAAAAAAACCCACAAGACCCTACCAGAAAAATAAAGCAAAAAAAATACTGGAGGCATGGATTAATTGGTTGAGCACCTCCATAGGAAGTATGAGGCCCTGAGTTCGAATCCCAGTCATCAGAAAACATGGGACAAATTGTCCAGGTGAGCTGCGTACTGGAAGCTCATCCTAGGATTGTGGTAATGGTATGGTTGATAAGAAAATTACAGGTAAGAAATGTACGCATTATCCTGCCCATGTAATTGTAACCCCTCTGTACAGTATGTTCACAAATAAAATTAAATTAAATTAAAAAAAAAAGAACCTCGGGGAAGGTAGGGAGGGAAGGGATGGTAGGGGGAAAACAATGGAGGGGGTAACAATGTTCAAGAGGAAGTGTACTCATTACCTCACTCATGTAACTGTAACCCTCTGTATAGCATCTTTACAATAAAAAAAGAAAGAAAAGAAAGGGGAGATAAAAAAGTGGGCTCTATTATCAGGTCTAAGACAAAATCAAGTTCCCCCACCCATCCATACTTACATTCCATGGTGTCTTCATTGGCATGTTCAGTATCCTCAATGTCAAAGACTTCAGTCATCTCCTTAACAATCTCAGCACTGAGATGGGCAGGCAGAGTGTGAGTGGGTGGTGGTGGTATATAGAAACTGATCTTCCCACTGCATTGGAAGAGGAGGGGAGATTTGTGGTGAGGTCATTGAGAAAACAAATGACCAATCAAAAAGAGAATAGTTTTGCAAGCCCAAAACCAGACAGATAAGAAAACCCAAGCTGGCACCGGTGGCTCATGGTTGTAATCCTAGCTACTCAGGAGGCTGAGATCTGAGGATCTCGGTTCAAAGCCAGCCCAGGCAGGAAAGTCCATGAGACTCTTATCTCCAATAAACCAATAAAATGAGAAGTGGCGCTGTAGCTCAAGCAGTAAAGCACTCTCCTTGAGCTGAAGAGCGCAGGGACAGGGCCCAAGCCCAGAGTTCAAGCCCCACAACGGACAAAAAAAAAAGAAAACCCAGATGGCACTGGGCATAAAATCCAGAGCAAAACATGCCATAATTCTGTCCCCTACCCTGGGACTCAGAAAATCAGGTTACACTTTGAGCTACAATGAACACAGATGAGCCATAAAAGCCAGACTCCCAGCAAGCCTCATGTTTAGCTACTCCTCACCTCACCCAGTCAGCCAGGACAGCTTTAGCCGCCTGTTCCTGACTGTATATGCCTCCCTTCTTCTTCTTCCCCAAACGGTGGGCCACAGCAGTCAGAAAGTGCTCAGTGGTTTGGAATCCTGAGACACCATAATGGTTGGAGATCTGGTGAAAGGAAGGTGAGAAGTCACACTGAAGAGCAGAGTGCTGGTAGGCATGATGACACACACCTGTATTCCCAACTACTCAGGTAGTAGACAATGGAGGATCATGATTCAAATCCAGAACAGCAAAATTAGAGAAATTCTACCTCAAAAAGAAGCTGAGCCAGGTGCTGGTGGCTCACACCTATAATCCTAGCTACTCAAGAGGCTGAAATTTAAGGATTGTGTTCAAAGCCAGCCGGGGCAGGAAAGGCCATGTAACTCTTATGTCCAATAAACCACCAGAAAACCGGAAGTGGGGCTGTGGCTCAAGTGGCAGACTGCTAGCCATGAGCTGAAGAGCACAGGAACAGCACTCAGGCCCAGAGTTCAAGCCTAGCTATGACTGACCAAAAAAAAAAAAAAAGCTGAAGAAGCTGAACGTGGTGGTACATGTATGTAATCCCAGTTACTCAGGAGACAGAGGTAGCCTGCCAATGCAACATCAACCTGGGCAAAAGACCCTACATGAAAAAACCAAAAGCAAAAGAGTACAGACAGGGCTCAAGTGGTAGAGCACTTGTGCAGCATGGATGAGGCCCTTGAGTTCAACCACCAAAAAGGGGAAAAGAAAAAATGTGGAGTGCCCTGGGAGCAGTTAAGATTGGAGGTTCAGAAGCTGGGAATGTGGCTCAATGGTAGAGTGCTTGCCTAGCATGCATGAAGCCCTGGATTTGATTCCTCAGTACCATATAAACAGAAAAAGCTGTAAGTGGCACTGTGGCTCAAATGGTAGAGTGCTAGCCTTGAGCAAAAGAAGCTCCGGGACAGTGCCCAGGCCCTGAATGAATTCAAGCCCGATGACTTGTAAAAAGAAAAAAGATTGGAGGTTCAGTTAGGTGCCAATGGCTCATGCTTGTAGTCTATCTACTCAGGAGGCTGAGATCTACAGATCACAATTTGAAGCCATCCCAGGCAGGGAAGTCCTTAAAACTCGTGTCTTGAATTAACCAGCAAAAAATGCCAGAAGTAGAGCTGGGCTCAAGTGTTAGAGCACTAGCTTTGAGCCCAAAAGCTCCAGGACAGTACCCAGGCCTTGAGTTCAAGCCCCAGACAAAAAAAGAAAGATTGGGGGTACACCAGAGGCTCTTCTGTGTACCTCCTCCAGATTGCAGCGCTGCAGGATGGTTTCCACTGGAGTCACAGGGTCGGCCAGCTTCTGCACCTGGATGCAATTGCGCAGGATGGTGCCCACCTCTGAGTTGGGTCCTGGGACGATGCCTGGAGCATCCAGCAGTCTGATGAACTTGTCCAGGTGAACCTCCTGCATAAATCTGAGGTAAAAGATAGTTTGGCTGTGTCTGGTATCAAGTCCCAAAGATTGGTTGTAGGTAGGTTGACGGAAGGCTGAGGAGTTGGGGTGGGAAACTTAGAGGTGAGATGGAAAGATATAGTAACAATAGGTTTTACAACCTTTCAAACCTCCAACTGATCCTAAGAGCTAACTTCTGCCACTGCAGACTGAGATGCAGGATTTAGGGCAAGTTTCTGATTCTCTGGTTGTCAACTGCTTCATCTGGGCTATACACGCTATTCATGAGGAATCTAAGCTTGCAGTGGTTAGGAGGCTTCAAGCAGCTAATGAGAAAGCACCCATCAGGGAGCCAAGTACTCACCTAAGAAGCCTTATCCATGAAGGCCCATATCCAAAACTAGGATATGGACAGGAGATTGAAGGCATGGGATTTGGGAATAGCAGTAACATGAAGTCATTATAGAGTGGAAGAACAGGCAGGTGCTTACTTGGTGATCCCAGGAACAGCTCCCACACTGCATGCACGGCTGCGCTTCAGACTATTGATCAGACTGCTTTTGCCAACATTGGGAAGGCCTACAAAGTAGCAGCAGATGGCTCAGGACAGAAAGAACCCTCGGGAACATTCAGGCCTGCCTGTGTGAGGGAGGTCCTGGCAACGGCAGTGACCAGGTCAGGGACAAACCAAAAATAGAGCCTGGCTTCCTGCCTTCATACCCCACTCCCTGACCAAGTAAGTCCCTACAGGGCCTTTCTAGCTCTCTCCAGTTCTTTTTTGTTTTGTTTTGTTTTATTTTATGAGCATGCATGCTCTCTAGATGGGACCCCTCACCTCCCACCCACAACGGGCCTGCAGAAATACACCATGTAAGGTCTTGCAGACATGATCCAACAGAAGGTGGACTTCCAGAAATGTAGGGAACAAGAGGGCCACCTGTTCTGGTGTGTGCTGTCTCAGAGAAGTAAGGCTTCATCTCCACATGTCCAACTCTCTATGCAACTGTCTTTGTCTATGGTGTGTTTTTGATATTGGGGCACCTATAAGCGGCTCTCAGCCAGTGGATAGTTTCTCTTTTTCTGGGCCTCACCTTCATTGTTCTCACTGTTTGCATGAATTTACCATTGTGTACCACTCTCACTTATGCTCCTGGAGCATCCCAGGAAGTCTCTGTACCCCCTCTGTCCCCTTGGGGTATCTCTTGGCCATTCTATTTTCTTTTCCTTTTTAGGATCTCTCCCACTCAGACTGTTTATCTTTTTTTTTTTGCCAGTCCTGTAGCTTGAACTCAGGGATTGGGCACTGTCCTGGAGTGCTCTATCCTTTCAGCCACAGTGCCACTTCCAGTTTTTTTCTGTTTATGTGGTACTGAGGAATCGAACCCAGGGTTTCATGCATGCTAGGCAAGCACTCTACCATTAAGCCACATTCCCACCCCTCAGTTTATTTCTCTAGCAACTCTGTTTCTCTGCATTGTCTGTCTCCAAGCATCCCTTTCTTATTCTGGACATTGTCCTTTTACACTAATACTCTGGACTCTAGCAATTTTTCATGCTCTTGCTTAGGTTCCCCACCCCCTGTTTAAAGCTTGCACCCTACAACATCAGCCACACCTCTACTTCCAGCTTTTGGCTGGTTAATTGGAGATAAGTTTCTCAATTTGTTCTTCCCAGACTGGCTTTGAACTGTGATCTTCATATCTCAGCCTCTTGAGTAGCTAGAAATATAGGTGTGAGCCACAGGTGCCTGGCTTCCATTCCATCAATTCTGCCTCTTTATAATTCTAACTCTTGTCAGTGCTTTTTAGACCCATTATTCCTCCTCTCTGCAGCCTGTCTCCATGCATTGGCCTCTGAGCTTGTTTCAAATAGGCTCTTTTCCTCTATTTCATGTGTGTGTGTGTGTGTGTGTGTGTGTGTTTGTGTGTGTATGCACGTGCGCACACATGCATGCATACATGCACCAGTACTTGGCTTCAACTCAGGGCCTTGATCTCTCACTTGGATTTTTCATTCAAAGCTGGCACTTTACCACTTCAGCCATGCCTTCACTTTTAGCTTTTTGATACTTAACTGGAGATAAGGGTCTCATGAACTTTCTTGCCCAAGCTGGCTTTGAACCTTGATCCTCAGATTTCAAGCCACCTGAGTAGCTAAAATGATAAACATAGCCCATCAATGCCCAGCTTCTTTTCCTCCTGTTTTTATTGGTCTGAGGCTAGAACTCAAACTTAGTACCTGATGCTTTTGTTCAATGGCTAGCACTCTACCAACTAAACGACACCTCCAATCCCTTTACCTTCTTTTTTATGTCTCCCTTTCCCTCTCTGTCTCAAGCTCTCTATGTAGATATTTATCTATCTCATCACAGACATGCCTGCATATCTGTCTCTCTCTGTGACTTGGGGTTGTGTCAGAGGGTCATAGGTATATCTCCCTGCAGCTTTTTTGTTTTTTTTTGCTTTGGGCAGCAGAGCTGAGATGAGGAGGGGAAATTTTGGTATGCATTTTGCCTCTATCTGTATCTCTAGATGCACCTCTTCCAAGTCTATGTGTGACTCCACATATGGGGATGTAAATAAACATACTTAGGTTCCCGTGTCTAGGGGTGTCTCTGAATCTGTCTCCATCCCTATGGCTAGGAGTCTTTTCTTTGGGTATTCATATCCATACATCCACATACTCTACCCTTCTCACATCCCCTCTGTAGGTCTCCATACATAAATATGTTTCAGTGTCCCTTTTGGCATTTGAGGTTGTGTTTGTCTCTCTTTTTCTCATTCTCCAGCATGCAGTATTTTTCTGACTTCCCCAGTGTCTAGCAGAATCTATACATTGTCAGTGTCCAACTCTCCAATGTATCTCTCAGCATTACTTTCCCTGATCAACTGTCTCTGCATCTCTATTTGTGTTTGTTCTGATGAGCCCTCTTGCAAAATTAAGGATTTGAGCCCCTGGCTTTGCTTTGTCTTACACAGGGCTAAGCTCTGCAAGTTCTTTTTCCCTTCTCTGGCCATCAGTGTTCTCATCTATAAAAAGACAGATGGTCAGGATTCCTTCTCACAGCTCTGACCGGAGGAGATGGGGCAACCCCCAAGCCTGACACCACACAATTGGTCCATGGCTCTAACACTCTACATATAATGGGAGTGCCTCCCAGCCAGGCATTGGTGACTTATGCCTGTAATCCTACATACTCAGGAGGCTGAAATCTGAGGATCACAGTTCAAAGCCAGCCCAGGCAGGAAAGACCAAGAGACTCTTATCTCCAATTAACCACCAGAAAATCAGAAGTGGCACTGTGGCTCAGAATGGTAGAGCCTTAGCCTTGAGCAAAAAAGCTCAGGTACAGGAATGCCCAGGCCCAGAGCTCAAGCCCCATGATCAACGAAAAACAAAAAGAGTGCCTCCCATATGCCCACCTACCCAAACTATAAATCTCCATAACCTTCCTGAACCACTCTATTCCTCCTCAAAGAGGGAACACAGAAGGAGCCCAGGTTCCATGACTATTTCACCAAGCCTTACCCACAACACCCACACGGATGTGGGTGCGCACTTCACCCAGGCGACAATAGTTCCCCAGAACCCTCATGAGGTTTTCAGCTCCAAAGCAGGCTTTGCTCTTCAGCAGTGACTCAGAGGCCTGAGCCACTGGCACACTGCACTGGTTCTGGAAGACAAAGGATAACATAGAACAGCATCAGGTGTGAGAAGCCCATAAGAAAACCCAAATTTCCAACCTACAAGAGAAACACAGAGGACCCTGTGATCACTGAGCTCCACAGCTTGAACAGAAGGCTTCTCACATGGCACTGGATACTGCTTCTACATTTCCCTCCACTGTCCTTTTGTCTCCAGTTTCCTCTCTTCCCTTCTCCTGCTTCACACATTTCCCCTCTCCTCCCTTCCTTCCTTAAAAACGTAATTTTATTGTTATTATAAAGGTGATATACAGACAGGTTACAGTTGCATAAGTCAGATAAATGAGTACATTTCTCTTTTTTGGGGGGCGGGAAGGGGTCCAGTCGTGGGGCCTGAACTCTGGGCCTGGGCGCTGTCCCTCAGCTCTTCAGCTCAAGGCTAG